GATGTTCACCTAAGTAACTTTGAATTAGGAATTCCCTTGTAAGTCTGGATGTTTCAGTGAGATGGTTGCTTCAAAGTGCTTTTATCACAGAATTTGACCTACTACATAGCATACAAAAGAAAAAGAAGAAGGAGAAAAAGAAGAAAATATGAAGGGATTCACGTCACTAGAAACCACCCAGGAATGGGGACATCTGGCTTCACGGAGAACTTGGCACTTGAAGGTGAAGTCAGTTTTTGCAAAACAGCTCAGAGAAAGATACAGGCAGAGGAATACTGGGAAGCAGATGGCATCTGCCCAGGTCATATGCTAGCCATTCAGATTGGACAGAGTCAAGGGAACAGTGGAAAACACAGTTGAAAAAGTAGACAGGGGAAGGCTTGTGGAGACGCCTGAATGTCAGACTAAGAAATGGAGCTTGTGGGCGTGGATGTTTAAAATCTGTTCGTAAAACAATTTTACAACTCAGTACCTTTTTTATTTTTTTAACCCAAGTTGCCTTTGGTTATTCGACTTAAAAATCAGATTTAGCTGCGCTACCTCTGGGAGTGTGGTTTAGGACTATGGAAGGGTAAAAAGATTAAAATGTGTAGTAGTAAGGAGAAAATGCATGACTACGGCCACATTTTCTCTTTCTCAAAAGCTAAGCACGTCACATGGCTTATCTCATTGAATTTTCCCAAGTGTGAAGAATGGGAAAATGTGCTCAGTACTATTATCATTCCCATTTTACAGATGAAGAAACTGAGCCCCAGAGAAGTCAAGGAACTTGCCCAATGTCCCACAGTCAATAGGAGACAGAGGCAGAGTTGAAATTCAGGCTACTTGATCGCCATACTTATGCTTTCATTCCCTACTTTATACCATGCGGAAAAGAGTCCTGGAGATCTTGGCTCTTTAATTCCCGTTCTGCCCCTAAACAGCAGCAGCAGGGTGCAGTTACTGCTGAGCTGAGGAGGCCTGTGGATTTAACGGGTGGGCATTTTGTGGCTGCTGTTGATGTTAGGCGGGCACGCAGGGGTCAGTTTTGCATACGCTGAGGTTGAGATGCTCCGCAAACGTTCAAATGGAGACGCTGAAATTCAGATGGACATGCTGAAAAATCAAGCAGACACATAGAAAAAGCAACAGGATAGCTACGTGTCAGGGTCCAGCTAGGCTAGAGACAGAAATTTGGAGCATGTCCGCAGAGAGTTCTATTTAACCCCTTGGGACTGGAGAAGCCCTCCATGGAAGGAAGTACAGTCAGAGAAGATGGCTGAGAGCTGACCTCTGGGGAGTGACCGCATTTAGCGGGTAAGATCTGGCAGAGAAGATGAACCAACAGCGGCCAGGGAGATGGGGGCAGCTGGAGCCCGGGAGAGGATGACGTTTCAAGAAGGAAGGGGTGGCTGCTGTGGGATGTGACGACAGGCCAGTAGGAAAAGGACTGAGACTTAATGATTTGGCAACGGCGGGGAGGGGTGGCGGAGTGTGGGGTGCGGAGTGGTGGCAACTTTGACAAGAGCAGTTTTTGTGGAGGACAAAAGCCTGAATGGAGTGTGTGCAAAAGAGAACAGAGAGGAAAAGCAAAGACACTGAGTATTTCTCTTAGTATCTGTAGCCTGAGTGAAAACGAGAATCAGTGCATTTATCAACCTCTCTTGGACAAACATGCCTCTTACAGAAGATGCTTTGAGGACTAGGACCATTGATTTATCTTTTAAATGCTTTGCACAACGTTGATGTTTACATAACAATTGCAGAATTTAATGAAAGTTTTCAACGAAAAGGCATATTTTTGCTTAAATCTTCTCAATCTGTGCTTGGTAACACTGAAGCACCTCTCCCTGCCCATCTCACAAAGACACTTCTGGAAGTACCAGTTGACAATAGAAATTTTTTTTTTTTAACTAGTGGAAGTCAAATTTTGATTATGTCACCAATATTTTTGCATTGAGTTTCTTAAAAGTATATCTGATAGCTCTGGTTCAATTGTTGGGGGGAGAGAAAAATAAAAACCAAAAAAACTCAATCCTGCCAACACGTTGGTTTATGTGAACTGCAGCTCAGTGAAACCTTTCAGGCATATAATTTATCTTTTCTTTGGCCCATGTCATAAATGCTTCATTTGTTCATGAATTCTGGCCTTGTTTTAATTATGCTATGCTCTGAATGTAGTTTTATAAGGCACAAAAATAAGATTGTGGTTCTGAAAACACAGAAGATTTGTGTGTTTCCCCCAGAATGAAATGGTGGCATCTTTTTCCCAATTCACATCTCTCTGAATTTGTAGCTGGAATGCCGATTCAGTAAGAGGCAAGCAGTGAAATGGGGAAAGGTTTGTGTGGGTGGGAGGGAGGGCCAGCTGACAGGCAGAGCCCAAAACATAATTTGCCCTAAGAATTCTGAATCAATACATTGACAGCCATTTATGCCCAACGTGGTACTCCCACCAAGAAAGCCATTGATTGAGAAGTTGTATTCATGTTACTGTCTGAGGACTGGATTCTCTCATTACACTTACAGAACAATTGATGCCCCTACCTCCCAGTACAACTGTGAAGCCAGGCATCAGATGAGAAACCTTAACAATCAAAGGGCTGTTTTTTGTTAAAAATCTTTGCAGTTGTATATATCTGAATATCCACAAGTTCACAGACTGAAGAAGAAAATGAATGGCTATTTCATAGCGTTTCCCTGTTTTATAGGCCTATAGTGCAAAGTGGGCACTCAATAATTCAAATTCCAATGATCTACCTATCAAGAAAATGGAAATTTACAGTGTAACAAAAACAGATGCAAATTTCACTGGTGACTGTAAGGAAGCTAACTCACTTATTCCAAAAGGAAGATTAGTTACAATTTTGGAGTCTTCCGAGAGGTTACTCTAACTTCAAAATACCACCTATGGGCTTGACCATATTAGACACCTGCCGTGCTCCAACACAAGTCCCTCTCTTTGGAATCACATCTCATTATGGAACTCATTCCACTCAAATTGAGGGGCTTTCCCTAAGAGACTTCCATAAGAAAGAGACTGAGTTGATAAATCACAACTTTAAAACTTTTCTTAGAATAGGAATAGATTGTGTTGGGGTTTTATGGTTAAATACATTCAAGGGTTGGTTATCAGATGCTGAACTGGTTTACTTAGTTAGGATGGGGATTTGGGTGAGTCACTAGACACAAAGATGGGTAGAGCCCAGTCCTTCGCTCTGGTCCCATAAACAACTCAAACTGCTCTTTACTTAGGCAATGGGCTGGCTCTGGATGCCCATGCAAATCGAACATGTGACTATTTAAAAAATCACAACCTCAGTATGACCAATACTGAGAATTCAACAAGAGTTTTTATCTCCCACTCAGAATAAAGTAGTAAATAGTTTCTCAAATATTCATGAATATTAATGACCCATTTATAGCCCCAAGACAAATAACTTGCAGGCTCCAGATTTATACATTTGAGGGAATGTTCCCTGGGCCAGGCAGGCTAATTCTCCTTGTATCTAGGCACCTTCTCCAACACCCAGTCTACCCCAGTAGAGCACTTGGCACACTGCATAATAATTGTGGGGTTTTGTACCCCTTTTCTGGCTGGACTGCACACTCTCTGAGGCCAGGGACTCTGTCCTGTCCACTGGTCTTGCCTCACCTCACCTTTACCTGGCAGTGTCACTCCCTGTAAAACATCTGGTGCCTGGATGCATTTCAAGACTTACTGTGAATTATGCAGAAAGCTATTCAATTGCCTCCTGAGGTGGTACATTTGGGGAAGTGGCATTTAAAGGACATTTTTTTGAACTTTTAAAAGATTTGAAAATCAATTCTTAGAGTACAATTTTACAGAAACAGCAAGAATGCTGATAGTAAGAGTTTAAATACATGAGCCTTTCTACCTTTTCCCAATTTTCACTGTTGAGAAAATTCAGCTGGTATAATATTTATGATATAATTCTTGATACCACCTGGGATACATTAAAACTGCAGATTAATGATACTCATTTTCCTCCATGAGAATAATATATGTACAGAGCTTGAAATATTGCTCAATAAATGACCACCAGTATTATTATTAGCAAACTGGCAGTGCAATTAGTTGTTATCAAGGCAAATATATTGACAGCCACAACATGTGACCATGTAATCAAAAATTGAGCCCATCTAATTTTTCCCTGTTTCTCACTTCAACTAGAGGCGCTTGACTTTATTCCCAAATTTTGAAAACCACTGTTCTTTAAAGCTCAACAACTAAGGTTACAAGTGTCTTACACTACAATGTGCCAGCTTATATTTCCTTCTTCATTCAAGAATTCTGTACCAGAAATAGAAACTCTCAAGGTTAAAAGCAAACGCCCTTTTTAAAATCAAAGAACTTGCCTTTCTTTGCACAGGAAATAAAAGCAACTGATTTGGGATACTTCCTTTAAAAAAAATCTAGTTTTTACAAAGGTTTTACTCCAGTTTGTTGGGAAATAATTAGTACATAAAAGAGTACTAAAAGCTCTTTTATACTTTACCCACACTTCAACACCAAAGACAGAGATCAATCCAGGCCATGAAAAGTAGGAAATGTAATGTGTTAACAAAAGCCTTTAAACGTACTTTACGGAAATGGAGCTCCTGATACTGGGTAGGGTACGTACATCTTCAGGAACCATTTTTATCTGCTAAATGCCTTTCCCTCCAGACTTAGCTGATCATAAATATGACCTGTCTTTCTCTACCTTTGATAAATAGAAGGACGGATTCATCTGCATGTACCTCACCTCCTCTTTGCGTTTACATAAAACAGATGCCACAGCTGTTATTGTTCTTCAACAGATGTTTTTGCTCACAGAAACATGGGAGATGCTGTGTGTGCTGTTCGTTCCAGAGGGGTCGATGGCTTGATACCTTGTCAGGGCCCCTGGGTGACTGTAGGGCAGTGTGTGTGTGCGTGCAACCGTTCACCCCACCCATGCCCCCATCCCTGGAGCTGGCAGAAAGAGCAAAGTGGGGTGTCCTTGTTCAGTACTTACCCTCTCTGCAGGGACATCCTGGGGCTGCCTTGATAATCCAGGGACTTTGTGAGCCAGGTCTGGATGCTCTGCGCTCCTGGCTTCCTGGTGGCTGTCACCTGGCACCTCTTCCCGTCCCTTGTCCAGTTTGAAGAGTTTGTCAAAAAAGCCAGAGTCCTTAGGCTTGGAGGGGGCTGCTCCCCCTGACTCAGGGGCCAGAGGCGCTGCTTCCCAGGTGGCCCCGAAGGCTTGGTCTGCGGCCTGGGCGGGCCCCCGGCTTTTATCGGGGCCGGGCCCCTGTGCAGCTGCTGCTGGAAGTCCGCGGCTCTCACTCGGCTCTTTGTTCCCTGGAGCTTTATTGGAGCTGACATCAAGCTTCCCTGGTCCAGTGGATGAATCCGTGGCTTGGTCTCCGGTACGTCCTGGTACAGGCCGAGAGAGTGTCAAGAAAAAGCGAGATTTAGCAGCTGGTGCCTCGGCTTTGGCCTCTTTCCCAAGATTCTTTCCGTTGGCATCGGCCACAGCGCTTATCTCCATTGTCTTGGGGGAAGAAGTGGCTGCATTATCCTCCTTGATGCTTATTCCCAAATCGACTGCAAACACAAATATGAACAGTGGTTATTCCATCAGGCGAGGAAATGCAAGGATGGCTGATGGACTCCAAACCTTTCATAAACAAAGGCCCTAATGCCAGCTGGGACTCGGTGGTCCTCCGGTCACTCTGTAAAGCAGGAGCCAGTCATCTAGATGACCTCTGACCCAGCTTTTCTTCGGCTACAGGAGCAGAAGGTTAGTGAGGAGGAGGCCAGCTGTTGGAAAACACACACCAGGCACTGTGCTGGTGACACTCATGTGAAGTATCCTCTATCATCAGAGGCACCCTGTGAGAAGCCAACTGTCAGGACGTCCACTGGGAGGCAGGACAGCGGCTAGGAGCCAGGGTTCTAGAGCCACAACAAGGTTTCTCAGCTTTGGGACTATTGGCATTTGGGGCCAGATTATTCTTGTTAAGTGGTGGGGCATCCCCCTTACGCACTGCAGGGTTTAGCAGCATCCTCTACCCATTAGATGCCAGGAGTTCCCCATGATGTGACAACCCAAAAAGTCTCCAGATATTGCTAAGTGGCCCATGGGGGACAAAAATCACTCAAGTTTGAGAACCACTGAGATAGACTGTCTATTTAAGTATGAGATGCTTCACTTTTCTGGGTCTCAATTTTCTGATAAAATTTAGCAAAGAGTAGAGCCTACCTCATAATTTTGTTATGCTAATTCCATGAGGTAATATGCAAAAAGCACCCAGAACCATGCCTGGAATTTAGTAAGTGCTCACTAAATATCGTGAATGTTAGCTGCCGTCATCATTCATGTGAGAAAACTGATAGCCAGAGATATTGCCCCACCTTTCCATGCAGCCCAGTAAGCTGGTTAAGTAGCAGAGTCTGGTTATGGGCAGAAATCTGCTGCCAAAGTTCATGCTTTCTCTACTTGAACACCTAGATTAGCATAGGCTGTAAGAATATTAGATTTTTAAAGTAATACTCAAAAAGTTTCCCATTTGAAGGCTGGCAGAACAGATGTCCACACAGGAAGGCAAATCAGGCCCCAGGCCCGCCTGGAATCAGCGGGGTGGTGTTAGCTGTCCAAGGCTACATGCGGATACAGGCTGGGCCTCCTCCAGGGAAGGGCACTCTTCCCAGCACTCACCTCCTTCTGCTTTGACCTCTGCATCGACCTAGCTGAACTGCTTTCTTTTCTAAGTCCCTTTTATGAAGCAGTGCAATATTTGGGAAAAAAGATATGCCACAAATTTTGGAACCACAATTAAAGGTCAGGGCTCTCTACTGATTAGCTGTGTGACCCAGGGTAAGTCACTAAAAATCTTTGAACTTCCTTAAAATAAAATGGAAATAATAGTAGCTCCCTTGCAGGTTTGTTGTTTAAAGGAGAAGCTCCTTCAAAGGATCTGGCACACTGCCTTTTTCAAAACAGGGGCTTAATAATTTGACAGACACCATGATTATTTTTAAGGTTTTGTCCATTCCTTTGCCAACACTGCATTTTGCTTATACATTTGTAGTCAGCCACTCCTTAATAATCTGTTTGCAGGGAGACAGACAGAAAGAGAAAGGGGAAAACTGGGGTTTCTTTTGGTCTGATATGGCTTATATTGCTAATTAAAATGAGTGAGAAACACACGCAACATCCATCAGCAGTCGTTTTTGCCAAACTCCTCTATCTCCCAGTGTGTAGAGTCAGGAATAAACACAAAGGAGAGAAAGCTCGCTGGATTCCTGTGCAGAATGACCACCTCCTCATTAAGAATCGAGGAGAGGAGAAGAAACAGTACAGAATCCAGGGACAAGCAGTAGGCTTCCCTCCTAAACTTGGACTTCAGGGGAGTCAGCCTGTACAAACGTGGGATATACCTTCTAGGCAAATATTATCCTGAGGGAGGGAGGGAATGGGAATAAGGAAGGGCAGATGGATGGTCAGGATTCCAAGGAAGCAATTGAGGCAGCCCAGGTATCAGGGCAAATGTCAATGAATCCTGGGATGGTCCAGGCCAGGAGGAGAGGGGACTGTTGACAAATAGGGAGATGCAGCGGTTCAGAACAAGGAAGGGCTTTTTCCAAATGCAGAGAGCATCAACTGATCTCTTTCAGTCTCTTTCCTGTCTTCCTTATTATTCTCTGCCTGGGAACCAAAGGAACTAGTAGTAAGACTGTTACAGTCAGAGACAAGTCTTTGAAAAAAAATCTGCCCATGGATAGACTTTTTTTTTTAAGTGACAATATATTGCTTTGATAAAGGATACATTTCCTACATCCAGGTCTCTAGGTTACACTTCAGAGATTACAGCAGATGCAGTGCGTAGCTCTTGAGAGCAGAGAATGGGTAAAGTGTTTTTAACAACTTGTAAGAACCAGGACTTCTTAGATGGGGCACTGCATGACCGTGAAGTTCTGCCCCTCCAAACTTGATGAGTGCCTACTCAAGTCCATCATTTGGAGCTTCAATTTCCCTTGCTAAAATGCTTACCTTCAAGAGCAAATTACCTAAGCCAGACTAATAAACATAAATCCTATGCCTTTGGACAACCTGAGAGTCACACTTTTTGTGCTTGGGTTGGCGAACCTGTTGGGGGTACATTTGGAACCAGTGGTCTTGACCGTCGCATCACATCATGTTTGCCTGAGAACCAACATGGATGAAAGCAGAACCGAGAGGTCCAGGGAGCAGATGCCCAGTGATAGCATTTGGACCAGCTGTGTTGGAAAGAATTTCAGGGAATTGGTCAGTACCTATGTCACTTGTCAAGGAGTAGCGGTCAGTCCTCTCCTCAGGGAGTTGTCTCCGGGCCCTTCAAGTCTGTCTAGGAGGCATTTAGTATGGAAGGAAGAAGGATGAAAAGAATGAAAAAAAAGGAAATGAGTTCTGGGAACTAGATAGAAATTAAAAAACCAGGCACCAACACCTTGTCCTCTCAGCAAAAGCAAAGGAAAAAAATTCACTTTGGGAAAGAGAACACAGTCATTTGAGACTTCAGATAAACAATCAGAACAAAATATATTCTAAAACATATACATACACAAATTCAGTTCTATGTGAATGAATAGGAGGACAACCTATTGGAGTTATAGGTTTTATACTCTTGAAAAGATGAGGCTCATTTACACATCTTCCTCGTGTTACTGAGGAAAGAACAAAAGGCTTTTTCTGGACAGCTGGAACTAAGCTCTCAGTTCCTATGAAAAATATTGGGAGAAGCCACCTTAAATCTGGTTTCAATAAAAATTTTTCTCACAAAGGAGACAAGCAGATGACATACCAAAGAGATTTTTACTTTCCATGACAGAAAAATGTCTAAGAGTTTAAGGAAGATAAAAAGAAATCAAGTAAGAATGCAAAAGACAGCTCCCAAATATTTAGGAGTTGAAAATCTTGATCTCCTTAATGCAGAAAAGATATTTTGTACTGTGTGTGTGTGTGTTTTAAAGAAAGTCATTTTATCTTTGTGACTGAGTGATTGGGAACTTATTTCCAGTGGCATCTTAGTGTAATTGTTAAGAACTTAAATTGTGGCTCAGAAGACCTGGGTTTATCTCCACAATATTAAATACAGATGGTTCCTGACTTATGATGGTTCGACTTAACAATTTTTTGACTTTATGATGGTGCTAAACTGACATACATTTAGAAGAAACTGTTCTTGAAATATGTGGTCCATCCCTCTCTCCTGCTGGGGGCAGGGCAGCGACCCGCGGCTTCCAGGCAGCCACACGACCACGAGGGCCAGCAGCCGATACACCGATCACCATCCTGTCCAGATAACCTTCCTGTTTTTCATCTTCAATGCAGTATTCAATAACTCACATGAGATAGTCCCCACTTTATTATCAAATAGGCTCTGTGATAGATGATTTTTCCTACTGCAGACTAATGTAAGTATTCTGAGGATGTTTAAGTTGAGCTAGGCTAAGCTCTGATGTCCAGTGGGCTAGGTGCATCAAATGAATTTTCACCTTATAATTTCAACCTACTATGGTTTGTTGGGACATAGCCCCATCATAAGACAAGAATGATCTGTCTGCGATGTGGCAAAGTTCCTTTCTTTCTCAGTCCTCAATTTTCTGATCAAATGGTTGAGAAAATAGTGCCTTCTGCAAAGGGTGATTGTGAACATTAAATGCAGTTCTCCCTACAAGGTACCAATCACAAGCCGGTATGTGGTGGACACTTGATAAATATTAATTGTTTTTTTGTTATATTTATATATTACTACTACAATTGATATTTTATATTCCTAAAAATGAGTCATAAGGAAGGCAATCATTCCAGTGATTTAACCTACAAGGCTGTGTTCTGGAAAGACTTTTAAAAATAGTAATGATATGAATTAATTTACCTTAAAAAAATCTAATATCTGGGCCAGAGAAATTTCTGGAATGCTTATCATTTTTCTAAGCACAAAGAATCTTTAGTCAAGACAGGCTGCTCCATCAGACCTCTATTGTATGTTTAAAGAACACACACACACACACACACATTTGTGTTACAACATTCACTGCTCCTGAGGAAGGACTGATTGACTTCTGCTTTGCCTTTTTCATGGGCCAAAGCTAAAAGTTTCACTTGGTTCAGTGGTAAACACAATAATCAGTTAACATTCACTGAAGGCTTCCCAAGTGACAGGCTTTATGACAAATGCTGTATATAGTAAGAAGCATTTTAGTTCTGTATCACAGCAGATCTGCTAAGTTAGGTACCATCATCCCTTCCAAGTTACGGGGAGGAAAACTGAAACCCTGAGAAGTCAAGTCACTTTTCTAACATCACCCTGCTCATACATGGCGGAGTCTGGAGCTGAGCTCACGTTTGCCAGATTCCAAAACTCCAACTCTTGACGTGGGGTAGACGCAAGGGCAGGAGAGAGGGACAGAGGAAAGAAACAAAGCAGAGTTTGGTTAACAGAATTTGTGGATCTTGACGAAAAAAGAAATGCATAAGAGAAAAAAGCCTGTGTTTTCTCACATCTAGGAAGCATTGGTATGTGACTTTCTGTGTGTTTTCTTTAAATAAAAATCAGATC